TTTATTTCATTATAATAGTTTATTGAACGAACACTCGATTAGACTAATAGTATTTATGTATTTGCTTGTATATATACAGTTCATAAATTTTGATCATAGATTTTACATCTACATTTACCGAATTATACTATTTACCGGATTTGTTATCACATAAGCAACACGACGGGTGCCACATGTGGAGCAGGATCTGCTTACCCTTCTGGAGCACCTGAGATCACCCCCAGTTTTTGGCGGGGTTCGTGTTGCTTCTTCTTTAGTTTTCTATGTTGTGTCATGTGTATTATTGTTTGTCTGTTTGTCTTTTGTCATTTTTAGCCATGGCGTTGTCGGTTTGTTTTCGATTTATGAGTTTGACTGTCCCTCTGGTATCTTTCGTCCCTCTTTTACCCCCACATCTATTTTTCATAATTTATAGTTTAATGAACTGACACTAAATAAGACAAATAGTGTCACATGTATATATGTTACTGTATGTATGCAGCAAAACTATTTTTCAAAGGCAATAATCTTCACATCTGACTTCTGTATATACCAAACTGTTAAAAGGTTTCAAAGTAAAATGATCAGGTAACATGAAATAACTTTTTACATTTTTGTATAATCCTTTAAAAACAGTTCATATTTAGCGCTTTCCCCATCATGCTCATCTTTTAAAAGTTCTATGAAAAAAAACTGAAGTTGTTCTTTCTACATAAAATCATCTTAGATACCAAGTTTTAAATAGTGTATGCCAGACGCGATTTTCGTGTACTAAAAAACTCATCTGTGACGCTAGAATGAAAAATGTTTAAACGCCGATACTTTTTTCGAACAAGCTAACTACGCTGTTTTACAAAATGTAAAATAATATTACAATTTGGTCTAGCATTCCAAGCAGCCTTAATAGGGACTTTAAAATTATATGGTGTTGTCTGTCCTCCTTTGACCTTTAATCTGCGAATGAACCCTTGATATTTTATTGTTAGTCCTGATAACAAAATATTTTTTTGTATGTTAAATCAACATTTTTAGTATTCTTCTTAAAATAGATATAAACTTCATTTGGAACATTACACCATGCCATATGTAACTAATGGGAACAAACCTGATCCAAAAGAAAAAGTTTTCATAAGTTTTAAAATGAAAGTTGTTTTCAATTTCTAGAAAATATCAGCGGACGAAATTGATACAAATTGTGCATTTCGTTCTTACTTAACGGTCTAAATTTTGTCAAAACTCAAGTCTGCGATGTAACAATTGGTGATTGAGTATGTCATTAGATCTCAATATATATATATATATCTCGGTTCACATTGTAGTAGAAAAGATTGATTACATATCGCTGCAAAGGCTGATCAAGTTCATATGTTGTTTGTTTAAAAATGATAATAAAAAAAGACGTGAGGTACTTAAATATATGACAGAATCTCATCTACAACGATAGCCAAAACACATCCTATTCCTAGATACATATTTGAAGTTGAAATTCGTCAAACTAAAAGCCATCCAAGTTTTTTAAAAGTTCCACATAGCCTAACTTTTTTTGTACATTATTTAGGCCGTTAGTTTTCTCGTTTGAATTGTTGTACATTTTTTTTTATTTCGGGCCTTTTATAGCTGGCTATGCAGTATCGGATTTGCTCATTGTTGAAGGTCGTACGTTGACCTATGGCTGTCATTTTCTGTGTCATTTGGTCTCGTGTGGACAGTTGTCTCATTGGCAATCATACCACATCTTCTTTATTATATAAACCTGCTAAATGTTTCCTAATAGTAATCAAGCATGAATAAATTGCATAATAAGACATCTAATATCGGAGTGGGACACATATTAATAATATATATAAACAAGTATTATATTCATAAATAGGATCTGAAATAATTGCTACTATATACGAATATTAAACCAACTCAGGTTGTAAAATAAGGTTCCAAGACATTTCAACTGATTCCAATACACAGATATTTTATTACTGGTATTTGGCGTCCTTTATGGTCCGATTGTGTTTGGGAAAGAGAGACAAAATATATCATAAAGACATTCGAGTTTATAAAACGAAAGTAAATTGACAATGCCATGGCAAAATAAAAGAAAAGACTAAAAGACAATCAACAGTACAAAAAGACAAAATAGATAAATAAAGTCTAAGTAAAACGAACTCTTACAAAAATCACCCCGATTACTGTTGCTCCGAAAGGAAAAGCAGATCTTGTTCATCATGTGTTACCTGTCGTCTTACTCATGGGAGAAAGGACATAAATTTAGTTTGTTTTGTTGTTGGTTTTAATATTGTTACTTTTTGTTCTAGTTTATTTGTTCCCAACTGAATGCATCTGTTATAAACCATCAGATTGATTTTTGTATTATTAACATTGAAAATATACTCTTAAATTGATAGCCAACATTCTTGTTATTTTTCTTTCCTAAACATATTCTTGATTAGTTACAGTCAATGCTATATACCAGGCTACATGGACATCAAAAGCGCAGATGAAGCCCCTATCGATTTATGCTATGCATATCTGTTTTGATGGTATTTTGTGGCAAACGACCATCAATACCACATGCTACCGTGGGTGGCGTGTTTCCTGTGCTATCATTTCCTCATTAACACTTTGGTTTTATTGGTTTACAATATATAGTAGTATTATCGAAAGCTATTTATTTTGAAACTGAGAAGCGAACTTCCTTAATGAGATCTCAAGAAAACAAACACAATAAAGTGAGCATATTTCGCTTATTTAATCATTATTTTTTTCTAAACTTTTACAATATTTTTCCAAGCATCATCTTAGTTGTATTATATTAATATACAGCCCAATAGAAGTTTTTATTGTTCTTGCCGTTGAGCCATGAATTACTACATGCACCATGTCACCATGCACCATATCGGACAGCACAGTGGATATTGTTGTCGTCGTTTTCCCTATCATTTGTACTAAACGCTCTACCGTTGTTGTGAGCCATATAATTACCTGAAAGACAAAGCAAGACAAAGATACTTGTCAAATACCACAATTATTGTAACTAGAAGACACTAGCGTTAACATATATCACAACTTCATGTACCCTTGCTCTGAATAAATCTTGAGACAGAGAAGCACACAGTTATCTATTTAAATGGACCTTGACCACCATAGCAAAAGAAATTGAAAAGGGTAATGTATGCGTATTAATCCCGGATTATCAAATTTCAGCATGTCTCAACGAGGAATCTGTTTCTCAGTTATAAGCTGTTTCTTATCTAAACAAAAAAAGCAATTGGTTACAGATGTTTAGAGCTAGTAAAGTTAACTGAGGACTTCATTTTGAATATTAACACTCTTGTACGTTATATAGTTGTAATGGTAATAAGATAAGTTTGCTTGTAAACACAATTTAAGGCAAACCGATGTGTTGTTCCTAGACTGTGGATAGACGGAAACAGTTTTTACAATAACTGACTACATATATGGATCACAATAACGAAACAAGATTTTTCAACATCTGTTTTAAAGCAAATAAACATTTCTGTAATTTCAACCAAAAAATAACACGGATAAAAAGCTTCTTTTTTTTAATCTCTCTTGAGCATTTGATAATTTGATAATAATTCTCTGCCGTTCTATTTTCTTTAGTCTTTAAGAGTTTAAACTTTAATTTTTAAAAGCATTTTGTGCCAACTTCAACTCTTGCAATTTGCCAGTTTTATTTTTTCATGACCAAAAAATTTGGATTTTAATGAATCTCAAAGTAATCGGCTAAAAAATAAATGTGTCAAATTGGTATAAAATAAATCAAATGTTACCTTGTTTTCTGTTGTTTTGATGTTACACTTAACTTCGAAATTTGAAACATATGTATAAACCAAATTTGAAACCAACAAAATACCGCGGGTTAAACATATAAAAAAGGAGATTTGGTATCATTGCCAATGAGGCAACTCTTCACAAGAGACCAAAATGACACAGAAATTAACACTGATAGGTCAACGTACATCCTTCAACAATGAGCCATAGCGCATAGTCAGCTATACAAGGACCAAATATGACAAATGTCAAACAATTTAAACGAGAAACTATCGGTCTTATGTATTTGAAAATACTTTGAACGACAAACTTATTTTATATCTCTAGCTGTGTGACGTTTACATTGTGACGTCAAACACGCGATTCTACAACAGAGTTGATGTGAACTTAGACATTCAGTCACAGAACCTTTAATATTTCAATCCTTTATGGGTTGATTTAACATACAAAAATAAGTAAGCAATGAACGTGTTAAATTTGATATATCCTTTTGTGTGCTTCTTTGTTGAATATTTGTTTGTTTTCGTTCTGATTGAGCTTGTCACACGGTGAGGACTGCTGTACCCCTATTTTGACCATTTTACCTTGATGTCTGTTTTGTTCACTCAACGTTGTAAATATAATGGAATTTGATGCGACTGTCGTACATTTTTTTAGAGACTTTCTGTTTTGAATTTTCCTCGGAGTTCAGTATTTTTGTGATTTTACTTCTTATGTATGTACAAAAAATGAACGAAAAACAACTATATAACACAGCAACATTGACTTACAGGCTGCTGACTTAGGAGATTGTTTTTTTAAGGACAAACACTCTTGTTTAGATTTTCTGGTTTAAGGACAAACGAATCTTGTTTAAATTAGTTATGTTTTAAGTACAAACAATAGGTCAACCCTCAGTTCGTATTTATCTTTACTTGTAAGAATGTTTAAATATGTGTTACCTAAAAAAAGAGTAAATATAATAGTAGTATTTCTCGCCGATAAACAATTTTGTAAAATTAGATACTATCATGATAGACCTATTGATCCTTTAAAAAAAAATAATTCTAAAATGTTACCATTTCAACAATGTTATTAGATATCTTAACACAGAAATAAGCCATATATGATAACTTTACCATAAATGACAATCACCATAAGTAGTATTATAAACAAAAATTCCACGAAAATTAAAAACAAGACAAGTGAAAGAAAAATTTAAATATAACACAATCAATTCCAAATGACTCATTTTACTCATTATTGAACTCATTAAATTTACCAAGCCAGTATTCCTTCTGTGGATCACCAAACCCTTCCTTATTATCTATCCAGTTTCTGTCAAAGCTTGTCGTTCTGTCTATTCTTTTTTGAAGTACCTTAAATCAAGTATACGAAATAAAGGATCACTGAAACAGCAGATTTCTAAAATCTTAAGTAAACGATGAAAACAGAATTATTAATATATTAAAGTAAAATCACAAAAATACTGAACTCCGAGAAAAATTCATAAAAGGAAAGTTCTTATGAAATGGCAAAATCAAAAGCTCAAACACATAAAACGTACTTGGAACAGGCATTTTCTTATGTAGAAAATAGTGCATTAATCCTGGTTTTATAGCTAGCTAAACCTCTCACTTGTATGACAGTCGCATCAAATTCCATTACATTGAAAACGATACGTGACCAAAACAAACAGACACAATAGATAAAAATGTCAAAAATAGGGGTACAGAAGTCAACTTTATATTATGTTTCCATTAAATTAAAATAACATTAATTTAATGCATTATATATTATTCAAAATGAACACTAATCGATAAATAACATTTCATACAAAATAAGGATTTACTTCAGTAAGATTGCTGTAACGAAAGCATATTTCAAGATGTGGCAATTGTTTTACGTTTAAAAAGATTGATTTGTTTTATTGGTTTATATCAATAAGATTTTTTGCCTGAAAAAAAGGAAAAAACGACCTGAAAAAAGTTTCGGCAATTTTGAATAAGACCACACTGTGAGCAAACTATTTGTTTAAGTACTTTGAATCGTAAATGATTTGTCATACCAGCAAATAAGTACCAAGTATTTTATTGATATTACCATGCACTGGTACAAAACTGATGTGCATCGGTTCAGCGGAAGTTCAAAGTTTGACACACAAGACAGGCGTTTCGTCCTTTATAAAACATTTTATCTTAATATATACTATATAACAATAAAACATACAGTCCATCCTCCCCCGTCTGTAGACATATCACAGTAGGCTTTTATCCCATTCATCTCACTCGGATATATGATATATACTCCACTCCGTTTGTTTGTTTCCCCTGTTATATAGCTGCAGTCCTTAAACTTCTTCTCAACTGGTTCAAATGTGTCTGAAAATGAATGTTGTTAAGAGAGTTTCTTATTATAAGATTATCATGTAATTATTTAAGAAAAAACACATCTCAAATTAGTTCCTTATGTTAAGATTTGAATACTTGAAAATTCATATACAACGCTTTTGGCATCATAACTATTTCCTAGAAACAATATGTTAGAGTTACAAGTTATAATAGCATAAACAGCACGTCAACGAATTTGCATTCATTTTGATAAAATATGGTCAATGTTTATGTAACAATAGTCTTTGTTTATTTTAAAACAGTTACCGTAATCGTTACAGCATTAATTGTTGAGATTACTTAGTGAACTTTTTTCACCATATGTGCGCCCCCAATATTATGTTCAATGTCATAATGGTAACTGATGTGACATCTAACTCTTCCCAATAACGAGAAAAAAATGGCTCGAAATAACATTGATAGATGTGATGGTTTACTTTTATAAATTGTTACTTGGATGGAGAGTTGTCTCATTGGCACTCATACATGTACCACATCTTCCTATATCTATGACACAGTACTGATTTTCATTTTATATTCTTAAAAAAAAAACGTTTTTCTTTACTTAAAGGAGATTTTGTACTTCATTAAAACATCATACTAATTAGGTTTAGATATATTTGCTTTATATTAGAATTTTTATCACAATAAAAAGACACCAATACAAAAAAATACTTAAAAATGCGTCTTACCTTTTAATGTTTTCATCAAATTTGTTTTCCAATCTCCTAATTCCTGCCTTTCGCTTTGCAAGTCAGTAGTACTTTTCTTGAATTCCTCTTTAAATTCTTGTGACAAATTATTAAAATGAGATTTTAGGTCACTCGCTAAATCGTTAAATTTACGGTTGTTGGTGTCTTGTGATTGCTGAAGCTTCGATAAATATTCTGACATCATTGCTAATTTTAAACTTTCTTGTCTGTGTTCAAACCCATTCAGCGAATCTGTTATTTCAGTATTAAAGGCTGATTCACTTTCACTTAAGTTTTTGTAAACTTCAGATACTTCAAGCGTTATCTCCTTTTGCTTGGCCTCAAGATTTTGAACTATGTTTGAAAATCGCTTTTCATATTCCTTCTTTGTCGTGTTTAGTTTTAACGAATAATCTTCTAACATGGTTGTCTTTGTCTGGTCTTGATCGTTTTTAACCATGTCTTGAACCTCCTCGGAAAATGTTGTTTTAATATCATAGTTGATGTAACTTTCTAACTGTTTATTCACTGAAGTTATATCAAGTTCAGCAACGAGCGGTGCTTTCAGGTCGTTAGAAATCAATGGCATTCTGACTGGCTTACATTCCGAGTTGGAATTCGAACATGGTTTACTATTTACATGAACAGTCGATTATAAAATTATTTGTAAAATACATGCTATTGTTTTTTCAATAGCCTTCATCATGTTCATTGCAAGTTCGTGTTTCCTATATCAATATAAAGAATATGAAGTGGTAATCACAATATAAATGTATGCATTACAATGTAACATGCAAATAGAAATAGAGCGTAATTAGACGATCTATTCTCTGTCATTTTTTTGTAAATCACTTGCGATGCAAGTAAAGAAAGTAAGATGAAAGTATGGCTTTACAGACATGTTTATTAAATTTAAAAAGTTATTGGCAATTGCACATAACTTTCGCTTTAATCAGAAACTTTTGTTGTTTTCTTGGTTGTAAAGAAATGGCATTAAAGATTAATCAGAAAAAATAGGGAATTGACCTTGTAAAACATAAATATTGACATGCAAAAGAGAGACGAAAGATATCAAAGAGATATGTCAAAAGTCGAAAAAAAAACTTGCAGTACAATTATAACAAAAGACAAATATCAAAAGACAAACAAAATGTAAAGTAACAAAAATACCGAATTTAAATGGAAATTCAAAACGTTAAGTTCCTGAAAAAGGCGTACTAGACATAACATAGACAACTCAAGAGCAATTTGAACAGGTACTGCAGGTGCTCTGACAGAGTAAACCGATGATACTCTACATGATCAAATTAATACAAAACATAAATAAGATAACCAATGACCATTTCAGTAAATACCTTAAATATGCATTACCTCTTAATAACATGGATAAGTGATGAACTTGAGTAGCATGTATGCACGTTTTTATCGCACATTTCGCATCAGTGATATTAAATACAAACCAAGAAAATAAGAAAAGTTGATGAATAAATGGCTTGCTTTTTAACGCCTAATAGAGGTTTCTCAACATCTTACGAACGAACGAAAATTGACCTAGCTTGACGTAACTTGCCGTAACGAGAAAAGAGTTATTCAATAATTTTGGAATTATCGGCTGTGATCTTCTTCCCTTTATAATGTCTTTTACATAAACAAAATATATATACATTCTGGATTTTGTAAGACCATTTTGAGTCGTAGACGTATTATATTGACTTGATATATATAATATATGATATATAATTTACGGTTTAATCCATACAGTTGAAAATCTAATTGATCAATAAATTATGGCGAAGAATATAAAATATTTAGACCCAGGATAGCAATCGTACAAAAAATTTCGAATTTGTTAGTACATATATGAAAAAGGGTAAATATAGAACTTTAGAATGAAAGGGGATAGGAATCTTTTTGAATCTTATCTATGATCAGATCAATGGAAGAAGGTCTTTCGCAAACATGAGGTTAAAGTAATCTAGGGGTGAACGCCTCTAGTTTTTAATTTGAAAAAAAACTTCCTCGGATCCGGGGTAATTTCGTTGCTCCAACTCTAAAATCCAAATGATCACTTCTTGACCTTAAATGATTATAACTGATTTATATTCTACCTAAAAGATGGACAAAGGTTACCAGAAGAAGAGTCAAACTCATCAATCGGAAATAAACTGACAACTCCTGGCTAAAAATGAAAGAAGACAAACAGACAAACAATAGAACACATGACACAAAATAAAAAACTAAAGAATAAGCAACACGAACCCCACCAAAAACTTTGGGTAATCTCAGGTGCTTCGGAAGGGTAAGTAGATACTGCTCCACATGTGGCATCCGTCGTGTTGCTTATTTTATAACACAGCCGGTAAATAGTATAATTCGGTAGGTCACATTCATGAAAAGGAAGTGGATTGTAGTTACGACGTAAGGAACATATCCGGTATCATTTGTGAAACGGTTACTCCATATCGGTCAACCAACTCGTGATGGCGTCCGTAAAATTTACGAAGGGATGATTTCAACTTCACAATTAGGAACTCTTGGTTTAATAGCTTCCTTGTGAGCAGCAACCCGCTATCAAGAAAATCATGATAGGAGATGCAAGCACGGGAATATCGTATCAATTTGGAGATATATACCACGTATGCAGGTGCTGCTGGAATGTTGCTACTTAGAAATGGAAAGTTCACAATTGGAAAGCTGAAATCGTCTCTTTTGTCGTAAAGTTTTGCTTTCAACCGACCCTCATTGTCAATTTCTAGATGTAAGTCAAGATATGAGGCCGACTTAACTGTATCTGTTGTGTCCTTTATCTCTAGTTCGATGGGATAGATGCGTTCAACATAGTCACCAAATTTTGAATTATTTAGTGAAAGAACGTCATCTATATAGCGGAAAGTAGAGTTAAAGGATATTGCTAACTTCTTATCTTTCTTCCTAAGAAGTTCCTGTATGAAGTCAGCCTCATAATAATAAAGAAACAAGTCGGCAAGAAGACGGGGCACAATTGGTTCCCATTAGAATGCCGACAGTCTGTTGAAAAACACGTCCTCCGAACGTAACAAATATGTTGTCAATCAAAAAATCAAGCATCTTGATAATGTCATTTTATGAGAATTTTTTGTTTGAATCAGAGTGATCCTTTACATAAGACAAGATACTTGTATCTACGTTGGCCATTCTTTTTTATGAATCAAAGCAATACCAACTCTTTCAATTTGTCTTTTAGTTTGGAATGTGGAACTGATAAAGTCGAGAAGATATCTAAATGGAAACATTGAAATAAATATTTGAAAAATAAATAAATCATTTAACACTTTAAAAAGATGTTCTGTAATGTATTTAGTTTTATTTGGTTTGTTTTGTTTTCATGTCAATTCTTATTCTCTTTGTGTATGTTTACAATCGTACACATTTTAGTATATATATAATTATTTTGTTGGTTTTTTTTGGTTTTTTTTCGTAGAATTTTTTATGGTATATGTTTTCTTCGATTTATATTTTTCTCATTTTTTCTTTTTACTTTGGGAGTGGAATTTAAAGAAAATGTTCCTTTTAAAAACTATGTAAATATCAGTTCGTTGGTGATGTAGCACTCATACTTTCAACAAGAATAAATAAAACTCTAAAACTATACGATTGATCGAGTGCACGTTTATATTTCTGTAACTTATGCCCAAAAATGATTTAACAGCAAGTCGGACCAATTAGACCTAGCGTACATTGAGACTTTCCTGTTGGGTGCTTTATTCTAGGAGACAGAATTTACCCAAACGCACCCTCCTTTATTCGTTTCATATTTATAAAAGATATGTGAATATGATTAATGTAAAATACTAAACTTGTGTCATCTAAATCACTTTTCAATCCTTTTACACACGCTAATCTCGTTGTGAAAAGCATGGAATACTTGCCACAGAACGTTAAATCCAACAATCAATCAAATGAAATGCAAACCAGACGCGCCGATTGTTTTAACAACATTACAAACTGACAATGTTTTTTTTAAATGGATAAGGAGATAAATCGAACGCATATATTCAACAAGTAAACAAACGAAACTCAACGTAAGAATACGTAACATTCTACACTTACTGTGCTCCTTACGCAGAAACTGCTCCAACAAAGTTATGAGGAGGACAGATTAAAAATGACACTCCGTAAATTTTATACGGACACCATCACCAATTGGTTGATCCATACGATGTGTCTTTGTCCAAACTAACTAAGGACATTTTTACCACGTGTTAGATTGTGGTTTGTCATTACGTCGTCTGATCTTTTAATTACCGAACGTGACTTATTCCCGATTGTGACTGTTTTGCTGAGTGTGAAACCGCATTGCTATAAGACGTGTCACAGTACCTTTCTATCCCAAATTATTGTATTTAATTTTGATGTTATATTTGTTGTTCTCGTCGGATTTTGTCAAATGTCTTAAAGTATTTATTTTCTGTTATATTCGTGTGTTATGGTATAGATAATTAATCACCCCCTTCATTTATTTGATTTTAGTTTGGTTCAACGAAATGTATACGATATATTTGGTTTACAGTTTGATTCAGAAGAAACACCGACATAGCTAGATAATACAATTAATTATCTAATTACTACCACAATTTGATATTAATAAGTATTGTAATTTTCATTGTTATTAATAAATGTAATGGCAGTATTACAAATCTAATCTTGAAACAATCCTAATCCTATCTTATTTTTGGGAAATATTTTTACAAATTCATATGTGACGTCACTTTGTGTGTTTTTTTAGAATTTCAAATGTGACGTCACTTTGTGCGTTGAGGCTTTAGCTAACTCGGCTGTGCATTTTTATATGTTGGATTAAGTTGTTTTATGTAATATATCCGTTTTTATTCTGTAGTTAGTTCCCACTTTGGTTTTATCATGTATATCTATTATATAGTCATTTTACAAAATTTACTGTTTGCAAAATTATAAATTATTCTAAATAATAAGGATGTTCTTGTCCCAGGCAGAAAATCCTGGCCTTTTTAGGCGCAACTTTTTGGAAGTTTTGGTCCTCGGTGCTCTTCAGCTTTGTACTTGTTTTGGCTTTCAAACTTTTTTTATCTGAGCGTCACTGGTTGGTCTTGTGTGGACGAGACGCACGTCTGGTGTATTGAATTTTAAGCCTAGTACCTTCTGCTAGCTATTATTCGTGTGTTTCTTTGTCCTATATGTTCTCCCATTTATTTGTATTGTGGTCCTGTCATGTGATGTTGTCGTTTTGGTGTTGTGTTTGACGTTGCCATAAAAACGGGAGGTTTGGCATGCCTAAAAACCAGGTTCAACCTGTACCAAGTTAGGAAAATGGCCATTGTTATATTATAGTTTGTTTCTGTGTGTGTTACATTTTAATGTTGTGTTTTTGTTGTGTCGTTGTTCTCCTCTTATATTTGATGCGTTTCCCTCAGTTTTAGTTTGTAACCCGGATTTGTTTTTATCTCTATCGATTTATGAGTTTCGAACAGCGGTATACTACTGTTGCCTTTATTCAACAACAAAACAACAAAAAATAAATTGGAACGCTGATGTTTAACCACAAAAATAAAATGCAAGGTCGCAAAAAGACTA